GGTGATAATGCTTGGATGATGACATCAACAGCATTAGTTCTTCTCATGACACCTGCTTTGGCTTTCTTTTATGGTGGTCTTGTGGAACATAAAAATATTCTTAATCAACTATTTCTTTCATTCATTTGTATGGGTATTGTATTTGTTCAATGGGTTCTCTTTGGATTCTCATTTGCTTTCGGACCACCTGTTAGTCCTGGCTTTGGATCATTTGACTGGGCTGTTCTTCGATTTGGTGAATTATATAATCCAAATTATAGTCCAACTTATCCTCTTCTAACATATTGTGCTTATCAAGGTACATTTGCAGTCATCACACCTGCTCTCATTTCAGGTGCTATCGTTGGTCGAATGAAAATCATTCCTTATATGATATTTATTTTCATTTGGTCAACTGTTTGTTATGATCCGATGGCTCATTGGGTATGGGGTGATAATGGATGGTTGAAACATTTAGGTACACTTGACTTTGCTGGTGGAACAGTTGTTCATATACTTTCTGGTGTTTCTGGTCTTGTTGCATCAATTATTCTTGGTAAACGACATGATTACGATCGACATAGTACCACACCTCACAATCTTCCATTTACTATTTTGGGTACTTGTCTTTTATGGGTTGGATGGTCTGGTTTCAATGCTGGTTCTGCTAATTCAGCAAGGTAACAAAAAATATTATCGTATTACACTATTTCTACTTTGTTTTTCATTATTTTTATTTTAGTGGTCTTGCTTCACTCGCATTAATTAATACACATGTAGCAGCTGCTGCAGGACTTATGACATGGGTAGTTATTGATGCTATTCGTGGTCATATATCTATTTCAGGTGCTTGTGTTGGTCCTATTGTTGGTCTTGTAGCTATAACACCAGCATGTGGTTTTGTTCAACCAGGATGGGCAATATTAATTGGTATCATTGGAACAGGCATTGTTTATGGTCTTCTGTTACTCAAAAAATATATGCATATTGATGATACATTAGATGTTGCTATTGTACATGGTTGTGGTATGATACACTAAATCATTTCTTTTTTTTCCTATATATGAAAAAAAATTTATTTATTGATAGGAGGTATATCAGGTGCATTTATGACTGGATTATTTGCACAAAAATGGGTCAATGAAAGTGGTGGAGCTGATGGTGCATTCTATGGAAACCCAGTTCAGTTGTGGTATCAAATTGCAGGAATTCTGACTGCAATTGGTAAGTGAATAATAATAATAAGAAGAATAGTTTTGATTTATGAGTGATTATATTAGGATTCGCTGCTGCATGTACAGCTGGAATTCTTCTACCATTACATTTGATAATGGGTATTCGATTAGCTAAAGAAGATGAAATGATTGGTCTTGATGCAACAGGTAAAGTAGATTTTTTTCTAAAGAAATAAAAAGTAAAATCTGAATGATTTTAGCTCATGGTGAAAGTTGGGAGGTGGCTACGTCACGTGCATTTAGTACTCTTGTAAGAGAAATCTTAGACGAACACAATAACAATAAACAAGAAATTCAAGAGAATGGTACATTTTCATTACAATATACAGCGGCAAATCAACCCCGAAAGTCAATTGCAATTCCAATTCCGTTAACACCCACGAATACAAGAAAGCAGAGTCAACCTAACCTTTTTATAAAAGTCGAGAAACCACCAGCACCAGATCGCAGCGATTCCATTCATTTTTAAAAAATAATGCTCGGTTTCTTTTTGATAAAACGATGTGTATTGGTATAAATAATATATTTTGTTAAATACATATATTTACTTGTATATTTTTAATATTTTTCATGTACTTACAAGGTCCTTGAAATTAATATATAGGAAAAAAAAAGGAAATTTTACCGAAAAGTACTTTTTGTATGATAGAAAGACAAATCAATCAAGAGATGACGAAGCATATTGTAAACGATGAGTAATACTTTTCCTCCAAGGTCAACTTAACCGAACTGAAAGTTTTTTTTTTCAAGCATAAATATAAATTTTATAATGCTTATGACCACGTATTCTCACGAATAAAATTCTGTAACGTTTAATTAATAGATTTTTCAAACATAACAGAAAATTTTCAAATTCAAATGTTCAATATATTAGTATGAAAATATGTTTCATAAAGTATCATTAAAAACTTTGTTGATACAACGACGTGAACACCTGGAATTAGAAAAGATTTATATTTAATTGAACAGTAATTGTCTTTGCCAATAATTATATGGAATGATCAATAGTTATGCTGAATAAGCAATAATTTATTTAAATGAAGGTGAATTCAAAAAACAAATGAGTGTCTCAGCGTAACTCGTTTATATATTTTTTTTTCTTTTCTTTTTTCCTACGATATTGAACAGATGGCAATTATGACATTTATGTCAGAGTTGCCTTCAACATATTTTTAAATCAACTCCAATATATACATATATCTTTTATAGTCTTTCTTTCAGCATTCGTCTCCTTCTCTTGAACATTTCTCTCCTCTTAATGTTGTTCAGGTATATTCTCTTCTTCATTTTGTTTTCTTTCTAGGGCATTTAATTTTTCTCCTAACTCATTCATATATAATTACCTTGTGTGCAATGAAGTAGTAGTTTAGTATTGATTTATTAGATTAATCATCCGTTAACAAAGAGCAATATGAAATCATTTATATATAAAACTATGAATTTTTTTCAATTTTAAAACTTTATCCATAGAATAATATATTGTTTTTTTCTTTTTTAATTTCAAATTCTTTCACCTAGACAAAATAATATAGTTTTTCTTTGTTTTATTGCTAGAATATGAAATTACTGCCGCTACGTAATAACTTAATTATTGTATATTTAATAATACAGAATTATTCAAATAAACTGTTTTTGTTGCTCAAATATTATTGCTAAATTGTAGTTTAATTACAGGTCATAGCATTATTTTTATTGCTAAAATAAATGTCAGCAATTAGAAAAACTTTTTTAAAATGCTAGTTTTTATGCATATGGTGATTTGATAGTGAGGAATATAAAAAAAAGATATTATTTTATTTTACAGTCAAATGAAGACACGTTTTTACGAAAAAAAGAGAAAACGTGCGTTCGATATTCACCTTTATTAGAAGATATCTGCGTAATTTCTTTATTTTATATCGATGAAGAAAAAGATAAGAAATGAGAAATACTATTCGGATTCATGCACTGTTTGTTATAATATCTCTAATAATAAAACTAAACTAAAAATATATGAATACTTGCTTTATACTTAAATTATGTATGACGTATGATATAACTTTGTTTACATTAAACAAACAATAGAAGTAATTAAATAATATGAGAGGAATGCAAACAGAACTGTCAATTGTGAAAGAAAGAAAATGGTATTTGTTTTGATGATAATAATATTTATTTAATATTTTTGCCAAAAGACAATTTAAAATAACATTACTTTAATTGTAATAACTGTATTGAAATTAGGATATTGCGTTTCTTTATTATATATAAATAAATCTTGTAATACACTATATACTGAATATCGAAGAAACTTATGTGTGTACCTATAAATATACGCGTTAACTATCTGATCCTCTTAGTCATAACATGCACTCCAAAGTTAAAACGTCATTTATGTTAAGAAGAAAACATGTAAATAATTAAATGTATTCTTTTTTTATCTACGCTCCGTTGCACAAAGCAAATGTGACATCCCTACCTGAATAGCATTTACGCAAAAATATTTTTTTCTTTCTCAATCTATCATACCTATTGATATAAAACCTACCTTATAAACGTCTTTTTCTCTTATATTTTCAAATATTACTATTGCATTGCATGTGCATTTCTTTTTCTATCGAATTGTATTGTTAGATTATGGCCATGTCTAATATGAATACTACTATTGTAAGCAACATCATGAACAATATGACTTCCACTCCTGTAATCATCAGCCCCCCATACGATACGGGTGATAATGCTTGGATGATGACATCAACAGCATTAGTTCTTCTCATGACACCTGCTTTGGCTTTCTTTTATGGTGGTCTTGTTGAACATAAAAATGTTCTTAATCAACTATTTCTTTCATTTATTTGTATGGGTATTGTATTTGTTCAATGGGTTCTCTTTGGATTTTCATTTGCTTTCGGGCCAGCTGTTAGTCCTGGTTTTGGATCATTTGGATGGTCTGTTCTTCGATTTGGTGAATTATACAATCCAAATTATAGTCCAACTTATCCTCTTCTAACATACTGTGCTTATCAAGGTACATTTGCAGTCATCACACCTGCTCTTATTTCAGGTGCTATTGTTGGTCGAATGAAAATTATTCCATATATGATATTTATTTTTATTTGGTCAACTGTGTGTTATGATCCGATGGCTCATTGGGTATGGGGTGATAATGGATGGTTGAAACATTTAGGTACACTTGACTTTGCTGGTGGAACAGTTGTACATATACTTTCTGGTGTTTCTGGTCTTGTTGCATCAATGGTTCTTGGCAAACGACATGATTATGATGCACATAGTACGACAGCGCACAATCTTCCATTTACTATTTTGGGTACTTGTCTCTTATGGGTTGGATGGTCTGGTTTCAATGCTGGTTCTGCTAATTCAGCAAGGTAATAAAAAATATTATCGTATTACACTATTTCTACTTTGTTTTTTATTATTTTTATTTTAGTGGTCTTGCTTCACTCGCATTAATTAATACACATGTAGCAGCTGCTGCAGGACTTATGACATGGGTAGTTATTGATGCTATTCGTGGTCATATATCTATTTCAGGTGCTTGTGTTGGTCCTATTGTTGGTCTTGTAGCTATAACACCAGCATGTGGTTTTGTTCAACCAGGATGGGCAATATTAATTGGTATCATTGGAACAGGCATTGTTTATGGTCTTCTGTTACTCAAAAGACATATGCATATTGATGATACATTAGATGTTGCTATTGTACATGGTTGTGGTATGATATATTAAATCATTTCTGTTTTCTCCTATATATATATGAACAAATATTTGTTTGTTAATAGGGGGTATAGCAGGTGCATTTATGACTGGATTATTTGCACAAAAAAAAATGAATCCAAGTGGTGGAGCTGATGGTGCATTTTACGGAAATCCAGTTCAAATGTGGTATCAAATTGCAGGAATTCTAACTGCAATTGGTGAGTAAACAAGAAGAAGAAGAATAGTTTTGATTTATAATTGATTATATTAGGATTTGCTGCTGCATGTACAGCTTTAATTCTCCTGCCGTTAAATTTGATAATGGGTATTCGATTAGCTAAAGAAGATGAAATGATCGGTCTTGATGCAGCAGGTAAAGTGAATTGTTTTTTTTCTAAATAAATAAATACTGAAGTATGAATGATTGTAGCTCATGGTGAAGGTTGGGAAGTGGCAGCATCCCGTGCTGTTGGAGATATGGTAAAACAAGTATTAGCAGAAGTTAATGAGAATAAAGGACAGTTGGCAGAGAATGGAACATTTGAATTACGTTATGTTCCTGCAAACAAAGATCGTCATTCATTCTCAGTTCCTCTGCCGACTCGCTATGAACATGAAAGGAATGAAGTTACAGAAAATAATCGAGAACCAATGTTTGGTGTACCAAAAAATAACGAAAATGTAGTTAATAAAGATAACCCTAATATGGTTGCCACTCGTCATTAACTTATATTGTTTTAATAATTTGTTTCACTGAAATTTATCATATATATATATATTTATTTATTTAAAATAAATGCCAAAAAAAAACATGAAGTAATAAACGGAAAAGTATATTATAGCACATGAGTTCAAGTCATATAGTTTTTACTCTGCATAGAAAAATATTATTATACTATGATAAAAAAATAATCACAGTTGAGAGTATATTTAGATAAAGTATTATAATATTCAATCATATGACAAAACAAATATTGATATAAACTAAATCTCATTTAGCTTTTGCCGATGTTCATTATTTAATAAATAAGTATTTCTAGCTGCTGCTAAGCATTGTCGTACTTGACTATCATTAAATTTTTCATCAAATACAACTCGAGTTATTAAATTATAGAGTTGATTTGATATTCCAGGTAAATTGCTTAGTTGTTGTTTTCCACTTTTACTTATTTGAGTATTTTTCAAAATTAGAAGTAAGTTTTGAAGACCATCATGTCTTTCATGAGCTTTTCTTGATTGAATTAAATGAGGTATAGAATTTAATGTATCAACTGACATATGAAAACGACCGAAAAGGATACTGATCAACAATTGATCACATTGAGTATCTGTTGAAAAAATCTAATAAAAGAAAGTCAACATTATCGTAACAGAATGTATTAAAGAAGAATTTCACTTTTACCTTTCCTCGATTATCTGATATCAATGTTGCTAATTCATCAAATGATACTGTTGTAAATTTTTTGGAATTTTTAATAATAGTTTCAAGAGCCTGTATAAATTTTGCAAGTGAAATTTCAGTTGGAAGTTGTTTCTCAATAAGATAAGCCCGTATTTGTTGTACAACAAGCGCATTCATTGATGGATCATTAGATTCCAAACAATGAAACATTTCACGATGAGTAGCAGATTGCTTGCCTTTCGTACTGTTTTTTGGAATAGCAGAAACTTTATTTTCATCCGATTGTTTATTCCAACAGGATGCTAATTGTTGCTTAAATATCGGTACTTGAAACATTGGTGATTGTTGGGCAATATCTTTTAATTGTTCAGAATTTTCTTTTCGATCAAAAAGTATAGTTAATATATGAATCATGGTTTTTTTCCAATCTGCAATTGCATATTTTCCATTTTGAGCTTTTAATATAGTTAGAATTTGTTTCATTGTTTCATCATTATGTTGTTTATTTTCAATTAAATTTAAGAATATCTTTGGAGATGAATGAATATTAGATTGAAGTAATTCAATAAGAAATTTTAGAAGATTTTTTAATGATTTTATATTGAATTTCGAATGTTGATTTATTAAATTTGATATTTGAAGTGTTTGTTCAATTGATAAATATTCATTATCAAATGTATAAAATAAAAACTGAATTAGTTTTTCAAAATCATTTTTGTCATTTAAATCATTTCGAATAAAATTAATTAAATTAATAAAATTCTCTTCGTTTAAATTTGTTTTTAATGATTCGATTAATAGATCAAGATTTGATTCTGATTTTAAACGTGAATAAACAAGTTTATATTGTTGTTCAGTAAGGAGGGAAGAAAAAAATCCGGATTGTTTGTCGATTATTGTTCTTAAATGGTGACGAAAGAAATCAATATTTTTTGAATTTGTAAAATCAGCTTCGGATATAATCAGAATTATTGTTGAGAATAAACAACGATTAATTTCAAATTCAATTGATGTTTGTTCGACAGGAATATTTTGAGAATATTCTTCTAATAAAGTGAAAAACTCCAAATGTGCCTTAAGAAGAAAAAGTGAATTATTTAAATAAAATTATTTTTGGTTTTACTTGATAATCATGAGAAAGAATATTAGTTAATAAATTATTGAGAATGATTGGATTTATTAGTGGAATATTTCTTTTATTTAAACGAAATTTTTGATAAGAATCATTGATTAAATGATAACGTTGGCTTCCAAATGTTTTTTTCTCAATTAAATCTTTTAATTCTCGACATTTTTCATTCGAATATTTTCGTTGATTTTCAAATATATTTACAATTGTTTGAGTAAGATAATCATATATTTCATCATTATTTCTTAATGTTTGAGATTTTAATAAACATAGAAAATCATTTAAATCAGATGATATTGATGAACATAAATCTTTCAATTCAATTAATGATATTGGACGTAAATAATAAGATTTTAATCGTTGTTGATCAGCATTTGATAATGGGCGAACAATTGATGATTGTTGAAGAAATTTATCTAGTAATTCTGTACATTGTTCATTTGAAAATGTATTTTTATCAGAACATATCATTTCAACGAGAGATATAAGATGGAGAAGTATATGATTGTCAATTATTGGAATAATATCATCCATTTTTGTTAACTAGAAAAATAAAATAACTGAATTTCTCTCTCATGAATATGATAACCGTTAATTTTCTATTTCTTATTTCAATACTGAACGGTTTTTATTTATTGCTTTATATTAAATGATTGTGACGATTTCTGATATAATAAGCACCACTTAAGAGCTAGTGTATATTTATTTCGAATATCAAGAATCGTACATGAGAACCTTTTAGAAGTGGGAGAAAGTATAGATCAATGCTTAGTCTTTTGATTATATTTGATTTGAAAATAATTTATTTTTGCGACGTCAGTTGTGCATTTTTCCAGCTTAGGTGCGATAGATTACGAAATGTATTACAAAGATAAACGCTGAACAATATTCTAAAGTTCTCAATCTAGGCAGCCAATGCTCCACTATAGTTCGGGTCAGAACATTCAATCGAGACTCAAACTTTGAGAAGGTCACTCCCCTTCCCACTCTGATTCGCGATAGCGCTGCACACTAATAATAGTATGGAGTTAAAGGGCAATGATGCCAAGATTTTTATTTCAGAGGAACCGAGCTTTAATCGTCCGAGATGATTACTCTTACATACTAAACTTTTCATTTATATCTCGATATTAAAAGAAACAAACAATGATAAACTAATTATTATAAAATATACCTGATCATTATTATTCGCAGTAGATTGTTCAATCTATAAAAGAAAAAGGTTAATAAACATAAAACTAAACATTTTCTTTACTTTTTCATTATTAAATACTGGTTTTGATCTTTCAAGTATCATTTTAATTTGTTCATAACCTAATTTTTTCTCATCTATATTATTACTTGCTAATTTAATCTTAATTTCTTTTAATTCATTCATCATAATTGGTGCTTGACCTTGATTTAAATAAAATTGAAAATAAAATTTCTGTATCGAATTAAATAACGGTGATTGAATGGCATATTTCAATAAATTTTCATATTGTTCTTTATTTAAATGCCCACTACTTGCCATTAATAAAACAGCAAAATACCACATAGGATGATTAATCACAATTGTTGATGTTTGTTGTTTTAATTCATTTGAATTTATTTTTAAAATTTCATTCAATTCTAATATCCATTGATTAAGATCAACGGTTAATTTATCATTTTTAAATAAATTTAAACGTTCTTTCCATATTTGTTTTTTATTATTTAGTTCATAACGTTTTATCCGAAGATTCAAATTTAAAATAAGTTCATCAAATTGTTCTTTAGAAAAACAGTCTTTTTTCAAATCAAATAAAATTCGTTTTGTAAAATATTCAAACCATTGAATATCAATATAAATATTTGATTGTAATATATATTTTATTAAATCAAATAATATTGTTGATATAGGAAATTTTGAACGAATAATATATTCTTGAAAATCATTGAATATTGTCTGTTGAATTTGTGTTGTATTTTCAATATGTTCTTTTATAAGATTTAAGGATAATAAAGAACGTTGTCGACAAAATTTTAAACGGTCTTGATCTAATGAATTTTGTTTTCGCGATGATAATAAAATATGTTTTAAATTATATAATTGAATATATTGATCATTTGTAAATAGAAAATCATTTTGAGCAATATGACAAATCAATGGATAGAATGTTGATTCTTTTTCTTGAAAAATCTTTAAAAGATTTTCACCATATTGTTTCGAAAGTTTTTTTATAAGTAAAATAAATGAATCAAATGTTTGATTTCTTTCATTGAGTGTTTGAGAACTATTTAATAATTTCGATGATAGATTATAAACTTGTTGAATACTGCTTTGATCAATTTCATTAAGATTTATATCAATAGATGGTGATTTGGATCGATTGATTTCTTTGACATTAGGACGAGTATCTTTAGAGTTCTTTAATTTCTTAGGACAATCATATCGAACATGACCATATTCACCACAATTATAGCAATCATCTGGAATGGATAATTATTTCAATTAAATGTAGATGAATAGATTTTTATTACTTACAAAGTCGAAGATCAACACCATATTTATTATCGAATTGAGGTGCTCGACGTCCTCGTCCTCTACTATTATTTGCATTTCTTGCTCCTCGATTACTATTTTCATTAGTTTCTTGATGATTACGAGGATGTGTCGTAGGAATATTTCGTTCATTTGATATTGGTTCTATATAGTTTTAAAGTATTTCAATATAAAAAATCTATTTCTGTGATATTACTTGTTAATAATATTGGATTTGAATTATTATGTAAAGGTTTAGCAGTAAAACCTTGTTTTTGTGTATGTCGAATGTCTTTAGTTGGATTTAACTTTTTACTATTATTTCGTATTGGTATTTTCTTTTCTTCTTCTTCTTCTTCTTCACTTTCACTTGCATCTTCATATAAATCATCATCATCATCATCTTCATAGTTATCGGGTTTTTCAAATGTACGTTCTTCTATATTCTGTAACCAACCATCAATAATTTGATTTTGTGACATGGTTAATACACATGCATTTGATGCTGATTCAAGTAATACGTGTAATTGTTCATCATCAAAATATTGATTATATGGTGTAAGGATTATTTGAGATATACATTGAAAAAGTAAATCATGACAATCATGTAATTGTTGACCTATTTGTGGTATTTGAAGAGTATTAACTAAAGATTTATAACCAGAAATGATTTGATTTTTATCATTTGATGAGGATAATAATTCTTTATTAAGTAGTTTTTCAAGGTGAACTTTGAAATTCATTTTTGCCATAGTTTTTATTTATTTTTTTGTTAAATATATAACTTAAAATTGTGAAAACCTCAAGTAAAATTTCGTAACTCAATGTATCGTTTTATTTTTACTATTCAAATATGATCCAATAGAACAAAAAAATCTAGATATAAGTTATTTTAAAGATGTCGCATTATCCTGAATTGAAGAAAAATCTTCATGTCTGATATTTTTACAAAGAATAATATATAGCTAAGAATTAATTGAGTGCTTTCTAATGAAACCAATTATTAGTATACTGTTTTAAATTTTCATTTATAGGAAAATCAATATTGTTATTATTTGAAAACGATTTTCTTTACATGATATAAAATGTAGAATTATTGATTAGCGAGTTGTTGAAGTTCAGCGCGATTTTCGTTGATGTCTGATGTTGATCGCGTACATGAATTAGTTGTTCCATCTTCGCTTAACCACATTTGCCAATGATCTCCAACTGAAATATCGCCAATACCACAAGATGCTCCATTTACTCTTGCACGCACTATAAGAATAGCTCCAACTGAAGTACTCTATAACATTAATCAAAATAAAATTGTAATTTTAAAACATTAAAAAACTGGCGATTATCTTACCTTATACGCTTCTTCAACTTTCATTGTATATTCAACAGCATCGATAAGTGTTGGCGACTGTGATTTACTGACGACAGATCCCATAAAAATTGTGGGTGTCTTTTGAAAATCTTCACTCAATGCTGGATGCATAACACATTTGCAAGAGATAGTCGATCCAATAAGTACAGTAAATAGTAAAAATGAATACATCATTATATCAATGTAATAAATTTGAATGTGTAGTTAAAAAATATATATGTATATATATTTATATATGAAATTCTGATGCAAAATAATATTGTGATTTGAAGTTTGATTTATTTTCGCTGCGTAATAATCTTCTACAAATAAGAACGAAAAAAAAAAGAAATAATGATTGATTTAAGCGATGGTTTTGTATAAAGAATGACTCATTCTCGATTAATATAAGCATTATTGCATATTTATAGTTAATTTATTCATGAAACCTTAATTTAGAAAATAAGGTTAATGAGTCTGTACTGAAAGGTTATCGATTCATTGGATATTTTACTAATTGTGTCATTATGCATCATTGCCAAATGTATCTTTATAAAGAATAATGTATACTATTCAATTGAATATGAAATAGAGTTTTTAACTTAAGATTTTTAGTAGTATACAGATTCCAAACAATAAAAAATCATGAATAATCTATATGTACTACAACTAGTAAGTATATTTGCGAGTATCAAATCCACTTTATTGTGTTTGTTACTATTTGATGTGAAAAAACTCATTACGCCATGAATTTCCTCTCTAAAGCTGAAGAAAAGTCAAAGTACTCAACTTATTTTTTCCAGTAAATAGACGTAATAGATAACGATCGTTGTTTTCTTCCTTCTAAAATAATTCCTTACCAAAGAGAACTAGCTTTTTATCGGAATATATTGAAAATCATATTATCTCAATGTTGATGCTGACGAAAAAACCTCTACTCTCACATATTAATATATGATTCATATCTTCATTTTATAATGAAATTATATGAACATTAACAAAACCAATATTGTTTATGGGTCTTTTTTTATTTGAATTTGATTACCGGTAAAAAATGATCGACAAACTCATTCTAATTGCTGCAATATTTATATGATCTTCAAATATTTTGGACATTGAAGTTTCATGTTATTGTAATATCTAATATCCTTTTTAAAGAAAACAGAAACTAAAAGGTTACAAGTCCTGTCATCAATCAATAGGATCAGTTACACTTCTAGGTTTTCGATTGATAAATATTTTATATTCTTTTTTGTCGTATCATATTAAAAATTAATCTGTTTTTCTTATCAAAAAAATAAAGTCTTATGATGAAATAAAAGAAAACTTATTTTGAGAGGATTTGTGAATTTAATATCAAATTTTCGATCGTTACAATTATTCATATAATATCTACCAGAAAGTTTGATTAGATAAATGACAACAACCAATGATTGTAGTGTATGTATCTATTCAATTTATACATATAATTTTAGAACAGTATTGATCTTTTATGATTCTCAATTTGACATTTCGATATATATATTTTTTTGTTCTATCATTACAACATGTATTTGACGGGTCATAATTCTTCGGTTGAGGCACTATTACTAGTATTAATTTGTATTCTCGTATAAAAAAAATCTCGTTGTTATATATCGTTTGATACAGTTGTTATTCGCTGATATTTGTAAAATGAAAAATATATTTGAAACATGGTACGTTTTAGTATAGTTCTTATCACATAAGTGAATACATTTAAGTTTAGTTTGCTTTCGATTTTGTCCATATTTTTACCACCTGTAGTTGCATTAATCAAAGTGGGTAAGACTTCTTTTTTTTTCTTCATAAACAAATTTAACTAATATTTATATATATGTGTATTAAAGGATGTACAGAACGATTTTTATTAAATGTTTTACTAACTATTTGTGGTCTTATTCCTGGAATAGTCCACGCATTGTATTTAGTATGGTCAACTAGAAATCAATAAGTGATATTTTTTCATTACGATAATAATAAACTTGTTTCATCAATATTTCATTTCTCATTAGTCTTCTTTTTTTTTGTGTTGTAAAAACTTGTTTAATATAAATCATTAAAAAAATTAGTTCGAAGATATTCTTTCTTTTTTTTCTTCTATAGAATGTTTAACATTGAATATCTCAAGGAAATTCTTGTGCGTTAATATTTTTTTTTCTATTACTTATCAACTTTTGTTCTTGGTTTATAATATATGAAATCATGTAACCGACGTCATGTTATAAGAAAAAGAAAAAAAAATAGGTGTTACATCTTGTGCTTAGTTATGAGATGCCATTCGAGCGAACGACAGGAGGAAAAAGAACAGAGTATAAATATATTACCTGAATGAAAAAGAAAAAGAGTATCCGATAGAATTGTTAATGTCTATGCGTAGTAAAGTTTGAATTGTTGGTTAGAAGGAAAAATAGGTGAGGTCTTAGTCCCAAAGGTGAGAGAGCAAAAAGAACACAGAGAGAGAGAGAGAAAAATGCTCTTTTTACTTCCTTCGTTCATGAACACCATTCATCGTCTCTTGTCATTGTCTGAACATAGAAGATTATGTATGTTGATTTAGATGGAGAATCCACCAGATCTTATTGTTGCGACTACATTAGACGATCAATGTCAAGATAAAAAGAAAATAATTGTTGAAAATATTTGTCAACAACATGATGATATAATAGCAAATCTTCGATCAGAAAAATATCTTCTTCAATGTGAAATTCAACAATTACGAACTCAACTACTCGTACGTAATAATACTAATAATACTATTAATAATGAATTCGATGAACAAGCACATTTATTACAACAACGATTTCATGATGAAATTCAATCTGTTATTTATCATCATAGTGAATTAGTTCAACATGTTACAAATGATCTATCTAATTATGTTACACAAATACTAAAAAAAAGTATTGAAAATATTGAAAGTTTAAGGTAAATTTTGTTTTTTCTTTTAAATCACTTAATACGTTTTTTTGCTAAAATAGATTATTACATCAAAAAGAATTATGTACACATTCAGCAAGTTTAACTAATTGTATTCAACATCAATCCTCTGAGATGAATGAACTTTGTAATCATTTAATTGTTCAACAACGTACAAAACCTATGGATTTATTTAATACAGTTACGAATAATTTTCAAAGTGCAGTTAATAATTTAAAAACAAGTTTTGATTCAAAAATCAATTATTTAAATGATATTCACGTATCAAAAATTGAAAAATTGAATACAAAACATGAAATAGAATTAGATGAAATGAAATGTGAATTAAATTTAATGTACAAACAATGACACTAACTGTTTTTTTTTAATGTTGTTTTTCGTGTTTAATTATACTTTATCTATGATACAACGTTGTTATATTATATCATGTTAGTAGAATTTAAAAAAAACATGTACGTTTTTTATGCAAAGTAGAATTAAATCAAATAAAAAAAATCATTTTTTTATGTTATTTAACTGCTTAATAATCGGATATGAAATATGACCTTAATGATTTTATTATAATAAACAAGATGATAATGAGAAAAGTTCGGGCTTAAACTAATTAACTATTCTTTAATATCAATTGATACAATGAATCCGACGAAAAACAAATGTATATATTTTTACGAATTTTATTCATATTAAAACTAACCCTGATTACAATATATATAAGTTTCGATAATAATTCTTAGAGTTAATTTAATCTGGTTATCAATGAATATGAATAAAGAAGAAGAGTGGAGGATTTCCTGCCATTCAACTTTTCCTTGAGCTTTATATTTCTCTTTGGAAATTTATTTTATGAATAATTAACAACTTTCTGTCGCGTGGGAGTCAAACAGACCTTGCAGATAATACAATTTTTTTCCTGTAGTTTTTAAAAATAGAATCAATTGTAAATAGAAAAGGATTTATTTCCAACATCACAAATGAGCACGAACTATGGTCTTTCTAAAATATATAATCTACTTATCTATCTGAAGGAATTAAGTTCAAGGACAAAGTAAATCAAATATAATGAGAATATTTCGACGTTAAATAAATCAAAACATTCGATTCAATATCTAAATAATAACTTCAATGATATTCTTTTTGGAGAAAATAAATAATCATAGATTAGAATTGTTTTTATATGAAAAGTATTGAAGAGTAAAGTGCTAGTTAACAATAGTTTTTATTTAAATGTAAGATACATTAAACAACGAATAAATTTTTATCATGTCAAAACTAATAAATAAATGCAATTTCAATATCAATTAAGATTTCTCCCTCTCTTTTATTTCGTAAAGCTTAATAATATATATGAAAGATTTTCGTATGAAATATTTTATTTCATTAAAAATGATAAAAACGCAATAAAGCCAAAGCCAATAAATATACATATAACATTGAGAAGTCGATAACGATTTACAGTATTGGATGAGAAATGTCGATGATGAGACGATATATTTAGTTCATGTGGTAAAACATCGAAAAATGTTATATAAAAAAATGTTCCACATGCAAAAGCACGTAGAATGTCATGAGTTAATTTTGCTGCACGATTGTCTGGTAATAATTCTTGCATACTAATTAAAAGTAAAACTCCAACAGGTGTTGCAATTGATAATAAAAAGCAAGCAAGATAAACTAAACGTTTATTTGTTATGTTCATTAATTTTAATCCGACACTAAATGCAATTATAGATTTATGAATAATAATAGCAAAAAATAATTCTATAACTGATTTATATTCATTTGTTGAACCAAGTGCAATACCTTCGAATACGGAATGAATTATTAAAGAAAGTATTAAAATTGAATTTCTTGTTATTAATACACGATTTTTCTTAATTGTTATATCTTCTTTATATTCTTTGATATCAAAACGATGTTCATTAGTTAAATTTGTATTCACTAACGAATCTTGATCATTAATAAAAGATGTTTCTTCATCGTCATGTGGCATAATAATTGTTGGTTTTTTATTTATCTGTGCTATGGATTGTGTAGAATTAGAACTAACTGATAAAATTATCTGTTCGATAAATAAAACAAGAAAAAATCCAAAACCAATTAATAATTCAGCAATAGGATACCGTTTTAATAATTGATTATCATATTGAAATTCATTTTTAATTGTCATATTAATATGATAAATAGTTTCCGGTAATAAATCAAGTAAACATATACCAAGGAAAATACCACCACCAAAACAAGTTATACAACTAATAAATGTATTGAAAGAAAATAATTTGAAATGAGATTTTGTTAAATTTGTTTTATGTTGATTTTTAATCCATGTAAATAGACAAATTGGTATAGTTATACATAAGAATGTGCTCAGAAAAAGAATACTGGAAAGAATCAATTTTACACCGGTGATATTCATCGTATTTAAAATATATCTAAAATAAAATAGTAGCTTGAATAAAACTATGTCTGAAAAAAAGCTACAATTGGATGCACTTCATTACAGATTTAAAAGAGCGATATATTAAAAACAGCGGTTGCGGACTCGATTATTATTGCTTACTGACAAATATAAAGAAATACAATAACAGATGTTTTGATTTATTCTCTTTCACATTCTCTAAAGTCGTTATTATTATCTTTCTATTATACATAAATAAAGTACACGTACCTATTCTCTTTAGTCAAGCTTTCGAATATGTACTGCGGGTATATTTTATTATCGAACGAAGTAAAAAATACACTTCAAATCTTTGATAGTTATGTGATGTACTTAACTAATCGTCTTTTTATCTTCTAAAAAAGTTCTCAAATACAATTTATCTTAATAAATTTTATTATTAGCTTTGATCAAAATCGATACATTTGTGAAACGCATAGAAATTAAATTTTACGTCTAACACATCTTAAAACTGTTTTCTATATGTAAAACTAATTGCCTATTTATTCTAATTTGAAAGTATCTGGTAACTTATGATTTATGATATAAAGACAAGAAAAAAAAGAAATGAATTTATCTAGAATATGTATATACATAATTTTATTTCATTCTTAACAATATAAACACTGGAAAGCGAAATGAAGAGTACATTTCCATATATATATTAACTTTATTAGGACGGTTGTTGTTTTGAAGTTGATGTTTTAGTATTAGTTGTTGAAGACATATATGGTGTTTTCAAGGACTAAAAATATTTAAAATAAATATAGAATTGAAAATTTCATTCAATAATAATTTACTGCTTTAAGTGCATCGTTTGATAAAAACTTTTTATATTGTTTAGGATCTTCTGTACCAAAACCTGGAACCCACATACTATATGTTCGTTCTAAAAGAAGTATACGCGTATAATTAAAAATCAATATATTCTATCTACCAAGATAAAGTTGAACATCTTTTGCTTCAACAGTATTTGATTTTCTATGTTTAGCATTTTGACATGAAGCAAGTAATGTTGAATCAACAAATTCTTCTGCTATTTGTACTAACATCTATAATGAGAATAATTATTCGAGACATATATATTATCGAATAAAATTCATACATCTTCGACTTCTTCATCTATTTGCATCAATGGATCTACTTCTTTAATTAATTCTTGTATAGCACGTTTATCCAAAATCTTTAGGGAAAAAGAAAATAGGAAATAACATCGATAAATACAATAAAACTTACAGATCGTTCATTATCTCCACCAACTGCACCTGTTGTTGTTACTGTTGTAGTTGCTGCTGTTGTTGTTGTATTTCCTGGTCGAATAAAACCATTTTCATTTCGATATGCCATCTTAGAAAAAAAAATCTAAAGAATTTCCAATTTCAATTGATATGCTACGTTTATTACTCTAATAGGCAACAAATATTTTCATTGGATATTCTATAAACGAATGAATAGAAACGGTTAATAGATGCATAAGTAACTTATAAAAAAATGTTCTTGACAAACGAACGGGCGGACAAAGAAAGGATGTCTATTTAGTCTAACAAGAAAAAAAAACATTATTTCATTTTCAATGAGTAATATATATCAATGTCATAGATTCTTTCTTCCTTTTTAGAATATTCTTTCAACGTAGACAAACGAAATAAATTACTAGGAAAAGTCATTCGGATAGAACGTTAATTAAAAAATAAAATGGGTGGACCACAATATGATAGAAATTTTGGTGGTTATCGCGTATTTTGTGGTGATCTTGGTAAGTGAATAGACTTGAAATCAAAAATTTCCAGAATTGATTTTATTTTTTAGGAAGTCGTACAAATAAATTTGAATTAGAAAAAGAATTCGATTCCTTTGGTCCACTTGTTGATTGCTGGGTAGCACGCAATCCACCTGGTTTTGCTTTCATTGTTTATAAACATGCTGAAGATGCTGAACGTGCCGTTGAAGAACTTGACGGACGGTAGGAAAATAAAAATATTTCTTTGAATAGAAAAAAATTATTTTATTTAAATTTCAGAACTATTTGTGGTCGTCGAGTACGTGTAGAACATGCTCGACCAACAGGAAATAAGAAAGGTGCATCATTTGGTCGTGGATATTTACGCCAACGATCACCAGGATATCGGTAAGTGAATTTCAAACTTAGCAAAAAAAAATTCCATTTCTTTTTCTTATCGTTCATATTGCCTTTTTTTTAATGTCCTTGACAGTTTAAAAAAAAATGAACTGATTATGCCTATTCTTTTATTTTTTTTTGTTTTCTCTCTTGCTAATCCCATTTATTTATGTCCTATTGTTCAGCGTTGTTGCTGCCTCTGTTCATCCATGATCATCATCTCAGTTGTTCATGTTCATCTATTCTGATCGTATTTTGTACACATGTATACAGCGGCATTCCTACAGATACTTTTCAGCCAGCTGATCTTTTGAATCTACACTTCTTCTCTGTGTATTCTTCTCTTCAAACAGTGAGTAATTTTATTTGAAAAATCTTTGACCAAAAAAAAAAAAGAACTGTGAAGTGGCATGAACATATTATAATCATAGAGACGATATGATGGTTTTTTCTTTGTTGTCAGTTAGAAAATGTATAAGAAAAGAATATGAAATGAATATATTTTATATAAATATGTAGATCACCGGATTCCAGACGAGAACATGATGATGATCGTCGAACAAGTCGACGAGAACGAAAACGTTCACCAAGCCGTTCACGGTAAAATATTTTGTTCTATATACTATATGTTGATAATAATGAAATTTTGAATTTAGATCACGTTCATCTTCACATGAAGAACGTCGATCATCTCGACGTCATCACCGTCGTTCACGATCACGTTCCCGTTCCAAGAAAGAAAGTAAACGAAAACGTCGTTCACCATCAAGTCAATCACCAGCTGAAGAAAAAAAGTAAGGAAATTTTAAATAATAAATTTTAATTATTAATTCTTTTTTTTTCTCTAGACGATCTGGTCAACGAAGGTACATTGAAGAAATTCTTTTCTTTTTTAATTTATTAATTGAAATGATTTTTATTATTATTTTAGTTCATCACGTGATCGTTCATCATCACCAGTTGATAAGGCTCGTCGTGATCGTTCATCTCGATCACCCTCAAAAGACGATAATGATGAGAAAAAAGAAGGAAATAAAATTGATAATGATAAATCAATAAACGAAAAAATTGATCAAGAAGAAAATGATGAAAGTCATTCATCACCAGCAGCGGGAGATGCTGATATGAAGAACAATGATGAAGACTAGATCTTTATTGATATATCATGAGCTTTTGTTTTGTTTTTTTTTCTTTTTTCTTTTTCGTTGTACTCCAAAGTCTGCGTGTTGTGTAAAGAAATTCATTCTTTTTTTGTTCTTTGTTTTTGGTGTACTGTCTTTACCTTTTTTTCTTTTCTGTTCATCTGATCGTTGTAAGTGCGTGTTTGAAAGAACAGATTATTATTGAAATAAAACCTATGAATCGATCTTGATTTGATATCAGTCATTCTTATCTTATTGATATGGATTTGGATCATTAATTTAAGTATTTCAATCAATGATGCATTGTTAGAACATTCATGTAATAATATAAAGGAAGTTTTTATACTTTCTAGATGTAAATAATATCCAAATGCCAAAATCACACAAGAAAAATCGTTCTACTTCTAATGCATCAGTTGTTCCACTTTTGGACAACATTTTTGCACAAATACAATCATCGACTAATCCAACAATTAATACTGAAACGAATAGAGATAATTCTGAAGTATCATCATTTGATTGGCAATGTGATACGAGTGATTGGTCTGATAAGAAACCATTAGATAATGTATCTGATACATTTCCTCAAACAGTTCGATCTATACAACGAAAACATGATGAATCGAAAACGATATTTTTTCCAATTATAAAAAAAATGAATAATGAAAATAAAACTGAAAATCAATCCGATGTTAAAGAAGAAAATACTGATCGAACAAAAACAATATCAATGAATACAATCAATCTAACAGAATTAACTTTAATTGTAAATGATCTTATTGAAGGTAAACGTGATGAATCGGCTTATAAAGATTTTTTATCAATATTACAACATTTCTCCGTCCATTCACATCGAGATGATCATTTAGAAGAAACTGTTTATCATTTAATTCAAGCAGCCGTTAGTTTTATACGATCCAATCAACAACGATTTGATCCATTGAAACTTGAAGAATGTTACCGTCAACGATATTTTCTTAAAACTAATTCTAATCAATGAATATATATATATATCTGTATTAATACTAAATCACTTATTTGTATATGAAATAAATATTTGATGTCTCTTATTCGAAAAATTCATTCTGGACTCTCTATTCAAGGAAATATGATCTTTTACTTTTTTTGAATATACAAAACGAAAAATAAAGTAAACACAAAAACAAAAAGTAATAGTCATTTGTTAACCAAATTTTCCAGCTGGATTGTAATATGGTCGACGAAGACGTGATATACGCCATGAATTGGGTTCTTCGTATTTGTTGAATAATGGTTCGACACGTTGTTCTTTTTTCATCTTTGATAATCGAGTAGAATCTCCAAATTTAAAAAATTTCGGTGCATATTCGACAAGCCATTTAGGATCAATAACGCAAACTTCACGCATATATTCTTTTGTTGTAAATACTAATTCATGATAACAAAGCCTAAAAATAAATAATTTTAGTTTTTTTAAATAAAATCTTCTATATACATACCATTCTGGTTGTCGATGATAAATTGAACTTGATGGATGTATATAAACAACTTGACTATCAACTAATGTTCGATAACCTTCTTGTGGATCACGTTTAGCTGCATTACGAAAGAAACCAGAACAAATTGCTTTTTGAACAAGTCCAGTTTGTCTTCCACATGATAGTACATCTAATTTATGTCGATCCATAATACCTAACATTTGTTTTCGAATATCTTGTGCACGTTTAAGTGAACGTTGTTGAACAAAATTTTCATAACACCATAAATTTGAAAATTTATTTTGTTTCCAAGCATTATAAACGGCAAGTAATGTTAAATGATCACCTTCAGCTTGATGAAAACGTGCTTTACGTTGATCAGATTGTTCAGCTTTTTCTTTCGGACGATAGAAAACATTTTGAACAGAAAGCATTGATACAATTGTTAATGCTTCGTCTGCACAACGTAATTCAACTGACATAATTAACATTTTTGATAATTGTGGTTCAAGTGGAAATTCTGCCATACGACGACCAAGTTTAGTTAAAAGACCTTCATCATCTAATGCACTCAATGCATGTAATTGTTCCATAGCCATAATCATTGTTTCTAATGGTGGTGGATCCATAAAATCAAATGATAATAAATCATTAATACCCATTGCCTTTAAACTTAAAACTGTACTAGCTAAATTGGTTCGTTGAATTTCTGGTACATTTGTTGAAAGCATTTCATCACGATATGCACGTTCAGTATATAAACGATAAGCTTTTCCTGGACCTGTTCGACCTGCACGACCCATACGTTGTTTTGCTTGAGCTTGACTAATTGGTGTAACAACAAGACTATCCATACCTGATTTAGGATTGAAAACTTTTTGTTTAACAAATCCTGGATCAACAACATAATAGATACCATCAATAGTTAATGATGTTTCAGCAATATTTGTTGCAATAACAACTTTTCGTGAACCGGGTGGTGCAGGATCAAAAATTTTTGTTTGCATTTCACTTGGTAATGCAGAATAAACTGGTAAAATAATTAATTCAGGAACTTCAGGACCCAATGTTTTCATACGTTCGAATAAAATTTCACATGCAGTATCAATTTCTTCTTTACCAGTTAAAAATACCAAAATATCACCAGGTGGTTCAGTAAGATGAATTTGCATAACAGTAATAAGTGATGCATCAAGATAATCAGTTTCAGGTTCTTTTGTATAGAGTACTTCAACAGGAAATGTTCGACCAGGAATAGTAAAAATTGGCTAGAGAAAAAAAAATTAAATTGATTTAAAAAAAAGTAATTTAACTTACTGCTTTATAGAAATATTCCGAAAATTTAACTGAATCAAGTGTAGCTGATGTAACAATTAATTTTAATTCTGAACGTTTTAGAACAGCTTGTTTCATCAAACCAAAGAGAACATCAGTATGAATAGTACGTTCATGAGCTTCATCTAACATAACAACTGAATATTGATTCATATCTGGATCAATTAAACATTCACGTAATAACATGCCGTCAGTCATATATTTAATTTTTGTTTCTGGTGATGTACAATCTTCAAAACGAATTGTATAACCAACTTCTTGTCCAAGACGACAACCATATTCTTCAGCAACACGTTTTGCAACTGACATTGCAGCAACACGACGTGGTTGTGTACATGCAATTCTACCACGTGATATATAACCAGCTTCAGCTAAATATTGTGTTATTTGTGTTGTTTTACCTGAACCTGTTTCACCAATAACAACAAGTATTTGATTATCATGAACAGCTTTAAGTAATTGTTCTTTTAATTTATATATTGGTAAACTTTGTCGTTGTTCAATAATACTCATTGTTGTTCGTTTACCAAATGTTGTTTTACTATTCATTAATGATTTTTTCCATTCAGACATATTTGCTGCTGCTTTAGCATTAATTTCTGCTGGTGTTAATTGACGTGCTATGTTACTATCAGGATTCATTGGATCATCATAATTTGTTCCATTAGGACGAAATGTTTCACTACGTTGTTGAGTATCACGTTGTTCTTGTTGAATTTCACGTCTTTCTTTTGATAAAGCATTTTGCATCATAGCTGCTTGTTGTAATGAACCATCAGGATTTTTAACAATTTTAACTGGACTTAAATCTTGCATACTTTGTTTACCATAACCTTTAAGAAATGGTGCTTCTTCATCCATAACTTCAACTTCAACATCTTCACCATCGGAATCATCTTCTTTTGGTAAAACACCTGTTTCTTCATCATAATTTGGTAATTCAGTTACATGAAGACATTTAGCATTTCTCATTTGATTAAGTTCCCATTGATCATAATCAGATACTTGTCGAGAACTTTTACCTTTATTATCTTTGGAATTTAATTCAATAGGTGGAACTAATGATGAATCACGTGAATTTAAACGATTATAATCAACAGGACCATCTGGATTTCGATCATATTCAATACTTATTTCACCACGTAATTTTTTTGTTAAATCTTCATTTAAATCTTCACCTGTTTTTTGATCAACATCTTTCATTGATAAACTCATTTTCGAATCTGTAACTGAAAGAATTTTAACTTTAACTGCTTGATGACGTTTTATAACATCCGAAACATTATTTATTCGATCTTTATGAATCTAAAATAAATTAAATTTAAAAAAAAAGTCTATTTAAATAGAATATACATACATTTGAAATATGTACAAGCCCTTCTGTTCGATTACGAAATTGATCAAGTCGTACAAAACATCCCCATTGCATTATTGAAATAACTGTACCATCATAAATTGAACCAACTGTTGGTTTTTCAGGAACTTTTACTGCTTCTTTTCGACGTGGTGGTGATTCATTACGATCAGGACGTCGACCATTTTTTGATGGACGATGATGTTTTGGTGAAGGTGAACGACCACTACTGCTACGACTACTACTACGAGAACCAGTTGATGAATGACGACGACGTTTACGATCTTTATGACTGGATTTTTTTCGATCATGTTTTGAATCTGGTGAACGATGACGATGATGTTTCTTCTTTTTTTTATATTCATTTTCATCATCATCATCATCATGTTTTATTGACTTTTCTGGTTTAACTTTTGATCGAAGATTTTCTAATTCATCCATAAGATCATCAACTATTTTTTCATCTTTTTCATCTGGAATTTTTGTTTTGACTTCTTCATTAAACATTGTTCGAACTGTTGGATCATTAGGTTGACATAAAACAGGACATATTGCTTTACGTAATGCAATATCAGTTAATTGCCGGGATTGTTCATATTTTAAATCTGCAGCATTATCAAAAGTTGTTCTTTTTGTTGATGCTGGTAACATTTTTTGAACAATACGATATAAATTACTACTAAATGAATCAGGAAAATCAGCATCATTGTCACTTAATTTCTTTTGAAATAGACCATAAGAGTCACTTTCTTGAGCCATATTAATTATAAATTCAGCTAAATCTTTATCATTAATACCCAAATGATTGTCCAATTCCGTACAAATTTTCGACACCAGCGAAAGATATTCAAGATTTTGTAAGTCTTCCATTTCGGCTTTTTCAGAGAAATAAGAATACAAAACTAGAAAAAAAAAGATAAATATATATAGCTATTGTTATTTTCGAAATTTCTTTTGATGTGTACGTTGCGTGTATTGCATTCGCACTTTCACAATATCTATTCTAATACGTCATTGATCTATCATATAGCATTGCATATGAGTAAAATGGAAAAAAAATTGGGTAAATTTATTATGAAATTCGTTTAATCTGTAAATAATTATTCATTTAATATTATTGCAGACATTATGTAATAGATATAGATGTCACTAGTTTATATAAAATCTAGAACATTCTTATATATGTGATGTAATAATTATAAATGTTGTAAAAGCTAAGTTGACCTTCACATTATAGGAAACAGTGCATAACTGCTGTCAAATTCATCTCTAATTTCTATCCACATGTTGAGTAATTCTATATCATTGAAATATAGTTTAATTATCAATGAATTAAAGTTAAAATTTATTTTTAAGAATTTAAGCAAACGAAAAGCTAATAGAACGTTTTACACACACATACATGCATATTTTCGGTAGGGTTGTTAAAGAAAAATAGGTAAGATAGAAAGAAGAAAAAAAAACAAAATAAGAAGGATATATACTGTGATGCATAACATCGTTGAGCTAACAAGATGTAAAAATGACTTATGTAAATAAACAGTCTTTTATTCCTTTCATTATTAAATGCACGTGTGTTAGTATCCGATCTCTGTGTCATATGTTAGGGTGGGTTATAGAAAAAACATCATAATAAATGATTCTTGTAATGTTAATATAATAACAAAAAATATGAATTAATATAATTATGCTGTTGGTGTAACAGTTGCTTTATTTGAATTAGCATCATTTTCAAAAGGTGATGCACCCGATGATGAACCACCATCGGCAACAGCAGCTTCAGATGACATTGCTTGTTCATCAGTAGTACTTTGACTTTGTATTTGTGGTTCTTCTTGTTGAGGAATTTGTGGTGTTGATGGTGGTGCTGGAGGTGTTTGAAGTTGTTGTTGTTGTTCTCGTGGTTGATCTTCACCAACAATTGATCGTGAAACAGTTTGAACTCGATGTGAAAATGATTGTTCTTGAGATTGAATTGATTGATTTCCTCGATTTATAAATTGATCACGTAATGATGATAGTCCACTGTTTGTTGTATTCGATTGTTGTTGTCGACGTATATCATTTATTGGATTGGGTGTACCTTCAGAGAATGATCCTGTCTTAAAACGATCACGTAATGCACCAAAGCCAGGTGCAGGACCTTGAATATGTGGTGGAGCAGCTATTTGTTGAATATTTGACGATGTATTATTATTACTTCCTTGTTGCATCATTTGAAAATATTCAGCACTATTTACTGGCGGTTCTTTAGGTTTTGGTAATGCCGAATAAGTCATTGAATAACTTGATGCAGTTTTAGTCGTTGTTGTTTGACCTGTTCCAGCTGACGATGAATAACTTGAAGTTGAAAAATGTTGTGTAGTTGTACTTTTAGCTTTTGGTTCAAGAGTTGGAGCTTTTGATGGACTATTGAATTTATTCATAAGACCCTAGGAAGAAACAATTATTAACAAGAATAAACATTAGGCTAATACAAAAACATACTCGAATTCCGACTGGTTGTGCTGATTGTTGTTGTTGTGGTTCCTGACCTTGTTGTAGCTGTTGTTGTTGTTGTTGTTGAACTCGCTGAGCAGCCTGTTGACGCTGAGCTGCTTCAAGTTGAGCAGCAAGCTCTTGTTGTTGACGAGCCAACTGTGCTGTATAATAATCTGTCATCACAAGAAAAAATTCCAAATAAAACTGCACTTTCGATGTAGTTATATGAGTTATGAATCGAAAAACATGTTTTTTTTATGATATCTCCCAAAAGAGATATCCTTTGTTATCTACAGATTTCTTTTGGGATCAATAACAGAGAAAAAAAAATACCTTGGTCGTCTTGACGTTGTTGTGGTTGTGGTTGTTGATTGGGAGATATTTGTTGATATTGTTGTCCTTCGGTAGCGGTCGAACGATATTGTTCTTGTTGATAAGTTGCTGATGCTGTTGTTTGTTGAGGAGAAACTCGACGTTGTTGTTCATAATAAGCATCTAATTGACCTTGTTGACCTAAATTTAAAGAGTTTAATAAATATTTTATCCTGTATAGTTTTTTTTAATATAAAACCATGTGATTGTCGATAAGGATCTTGATTATTATTAGGTGAAACAGTGCTTTGAACTGGTTGTGATCGTTGATGATATGCATTATATGGATCTTGACCTAGAATTGATAATACAGAAAAATAATAATATTGAAGTATTTTTTTGTTTGTAAAAACCTTGTTGACGATATTGTTGTTCTTGATTTGATGAAACTTGATGAACTCGTCGTTGTTGTTGTTGATATTCATCATAACGTTGAGCTTCTTGATTCTGACGACTTGGAGAATATGACTGTTGTTGTTCTTGTTTGTCTGGTTGTTCGTCAATACGTTGACGTTCTTGTTGTTGTTGCAAATAATATTGTTGTTGAGCAATTTGTTGTCGTCTTCGTTCATCTTCTTGTTGTCGTTGAATTTGTTGTTGACGTAATAACTGTTGATATTGTTCTAAAAATATAAGATTATATATTGCGGTTATATATTTGACAGTATTTCTCATTAGTTTTCCGACATGGTGTCATCTATATAGAGATTCAGAATAATAGATAAGGAAAAATAATACATACCAGGTGTTAATTGACTATAGTATTGTTGAAGTGGATCTTGTTGTGCTTGTGGTTGTGTTTGTGGGGGAGAAGATTGAGAAGTTGAATACTGCTGTTGTTGTTGATGTTGTTGCTGTTGATGATAACCAGTACTACTCTCATGTTGCGGATGTGAGCTACTTGACATAGATCGAACTGATACTTGTTGTACTTGCTATGAAATATAAAAATAAAAAATTAATTGCTCGAAAGGTATATTTCCAAAAATGAGTCATAATTGTATACAAATGATTTAATTATTTACACTCATCTGAACTCATTAAGAGTAGAACATATCGAGTCTACAGAATAATAAACAATGTCAATCGAAACAACAAATGAGTTTATCTGTCATCAGTGTCATATATTTTTAATATATATATACCTGTACATGTGGATCATGACCTCGAGATGGGCTGTCTGTTCGTTGATCTAGTTCTTTATGTGTATATTGAGTAGGACCCGGTGCTTGATAATAGCCTGGAGCATTTGTTGATTGCCCTAATTGTTGACGAGTATCTTGTGGATATTGATGATGATGTTGTGGTGAAATTTGTGGTGAATGAGGTGAACTCGGTTGTTCATAGTTTGCATATGCTGGCTGCGGTGGTCGTTGTGGTGACTGTTGTGATTGTTGTTGTTGTTGTTGATATTGAGCAGATGATGCATATTGTTGTTCTTGACTGTTGACGGATCGTACAGTAGCTCTAACTTGAGGCACCGGTGATGGAGATGATTGATATTGCTGTTGAGATATACCCTTGTTAAATCCTGCTACTGATTGATGTTGTTGTGGTAGTTGATGTAAATCATTTTCATTATATGTATTTCGATCTGATCGAATTTGTTGGTGTTGTGTACGTACACCTGAAACGCCAACAGGATGAGATGAAAATTCAGATGGACCTACTATTGTTGTAGATGCTACAGGCGAAACATAAGTTCGATCTTGTGGTATTGGTCTTGGCACTTGAGATGGATTATTGCTAGCAGCATCAAAATAATATTGATTGTCGCCACTACTTCCATTTTCAATGTAGTGTGTGGCCATATCTTAAATCTATTGTTAAATATTATTAGACAATCACTAAGAAAAAAGTTAGGCAAACTGAAGATGCGATAAACAAACAAAGAAAATAGAATTAGTAGTAATAAACCATACAGAACAGAGAAAAGAACGGTCGTTCGGTTGATAATATCAATACACGATTTTTCTCTCTCTCTCTCGTTTACGCGATTTCCTCTTTCCACTTTCATCCGTCTATATATGTATGTATATATATATATATATATATATATAATATAGAAGGAACTCAGTCTCGATGAGTATTCACCAAAAAGAAGATCTGTTATACATTTCTTTCTTTCCTATTGTAGATACTGCTGCCGTCATCGATGTAAAAAAAGCATAGAGAGAGAGTACAGTCATATATATAGAAGACAAATCATTTTTTGGCAAACAGGAAGAAAAATATAGAACATCAACAACAACAACAACGTATTCTACTATAGAATCTCACTTATACTCGCCTACATAGATATATTTTTCCCATACATCATAATGTAAAGCGGCACATATATATATATAGTATAAAACAGACCATAAGGAAGAATAGACGTATTCTTGGTGATTAGCATTAGTATCTCTAAACAACAGGGCGTATGACCCCTTCCTGTATTCTATTCGCTGTATTTATGGTTATATTTTGTAAAGCTACAAGGTTCTTTGCTTAATTAGATGACAGATATGTCATGTTAATGTACATTTTTGATCTAAATCGTGATCAATAATAATAAGAATATATTTTATAAATTGGAGGTGTATAAGATAAAACTAATTCAAGTACAATATTAGATGATATAGAGTATGATCAATTAAATGCGCTTGTTTGCTCATGCAAACCAAATTTATCTTATTAACCATAAAGAAAAATAGATTCTGTAATACAAACTAATGTACCAAAAATGTATATAAATAAGAAACTATTTTATCTCCATATGCAGACAGAAACAAGAATATATTGATTTATCTCTTTGTTTGATGATTAATATTAACAACTGGATGGAGGTTAACTAGTTCTTATATATTTGTAAAGAAATTGATCTGTAAAAAAAAGGCAAAATCTCGATGGAATATACAAAACTTGCTTACGTTTATAGTTGATTACTATTTACTGCTAACGTAACTAGACTAATATCAACAACCTCGAAAAATGTTTCACATAGCTTTTGTTTAGATTGCATCGATAGCAAATATATATATATATATATATACTCAGAATACTAAGCATAAGAGAACTGATTATCTTCTTTTAGTAATATCATCGTGTACATTTTATTCATAAATAAATCAGTTCATATTAGTTAACAGTTTGTCTAAATATGAATTATAATTATAGGAACATCTTATTAAATGAATATATTAATAACTTCTTTATTTCGAGCAACATACGCTATGTCACTCATATCAGATGTATTTGCTACGAAAAAACAATCCTGGAGCACACATGTGAGAAAGAAATAGACTAACTATGTATATAAAAATAATAAAAACAATATTAGACAAAAATAACACTATTAAGTAATTATAATATTTCGTTAGGCCTTCTTTTTTTAATAGATGACGATATTAGATAGTATTAATATGTATTAAATCATCCAGAAATAAAACATTTTCAATTCATAACTTGTTTAAAAAGAATGTAAAACAATAGAATTTTTGTACGTATTATTTCTAGTTGAAACAGATAACTTTTAATTCGCATATTCTTACAAAGTTGAATTATATATAATTATTTACTCATTAACAAATTTGAATTATTAAAATAATGTTTTCAGCTCAGTACATATCTATATGTATTCATTAACAGCATGTAAATATACACCTATGAGTATATCAATAATCATTTTGTAGGCGTTATTTTCTTGTTTTTCAATGATATTTAATAATTATTTCAAAATAATAATAAGAGACTTTTTCATAAACAATATTTATTGAATCGAGGGTGAGTGTGGGTGTAGATTTTGTATTCTTTGTCCGTCTACGTCTGCACCCATCCTGCCCATGTTTATTATCTGTTGTAGAGCAGGAATATGTTCATTTTTATAATTATTTTTAAAAAAAGACCATATGTTCCCTTCATAGTTTTGTGTGACCATGTTGGTTAAATACTTCAGATATCGATTCATAATTCTGATTTCATCGGTGTTTTCATCGTCTTGATTCAATAAAACTAAACGTACAACCCATAATGTTTCGGTGTGTTTTATCACTGAGTGAATTCGAAGCTGTGTATTTGCCATAAATAGTACTTCTTTTTCATCAATAAAGCAACTCAGACTTATAATATTAGCAAATATATGATTTTTACAGGAGTTTGCTAGTTTTGTCATATCAATATCGATTTGAAACATTACCGATTGAAGAAATTGTTTTTTATCGTCTTCACTAAGTTCAGCATAGAACAGGGCAACTTCACTTGATAGTGATGCGGACCAGAATGATGTAATTGAAATGTATTTTCCAATAGTGTGTTTTAATTTGATTAGTTCTGATAGACGGAGTTTCTGACCTCTATAAACAGTCAAATTTTGTTCTTTGAAACTGATCACATAATCTAGATATGATTTCGTTAATTGTTCATATAAATCGATAATAAAATAGCGGAAGTCACTGATCATATCAATGTTTTCGGTTCTAAGAGCTGTATTTAGTAAACGATAAAGTAATGAATCTTTGGTGTACCAGCGAATAGCAGCGTCAGAACGGTAACTCTCACAAAACTCCTTAACTTTAGCCTGTTCGACTGAATCATCCTCAGCATAAAATCGCCACCATTGAAGTAGACGATCGTTGACCTTGTGTGTTCTGGGTGATACTTTTGGTAAGATCTCTAGTAACTGCAATATAGCTACATCGAAGTAATCAGACGAACTTGTTACAATTGGATTACGATCATCGCATAATGTTAATTTCATGCACCAGATATTATTAGTCAAGAGTTTGCAAGAATCAACACGAAATATGTGACCACTTGCTAATAGCACTTCCTGTTCATATTGAACAGAGAATAAATTGGACACATCCGCGAATGGTTTCGAAGTGATTGACGTGGAATCGAAAGATATTTCAATCAGAACGCTTACTAAATCTATATGACACCCATCTCCAGCAAAGATTAGAGCTACGTCATGTTCGAAACTCGTCGACATTATTGTATTATTTGAAATAAATCTACCGATGTTATGCTGTAGCTGTTGAAATTCATCGACCGGCATGAGTTGTCCACGATAAAGAAATGAATATGACGATGTTTGAACAGGTGCTCGACAAGATAAATTCTGCAGTTGGCTATAAATATCATTGACAACAAAAGAGAAGTTCATGATTGCGTCAATGTTATTGGTTCGCATAGCTTTATTCAGCTGGCGATATAGAAAAGAATCATCGGTGTACCACTTAATGGCGTTACTTGGTTGGTAAGTTTGTGCAAATTCATCAAGCCTTTTTGATTCAAATTCGTTATGTCGGTAGTGATGCCTAAGACGTTGTAGGAGTTTTTCCTTTGATTGCTCAAGAGGGCATGGCATTCGACGTAAAATATCCATCATCAGTTGATAACATTTCCACTGAATCATTTGTGGATTGATCAAACGTGTTGTGCTTTCATTAGAGTTTATTTCAATCAATTTCAAGTCGGATGCTGCCTCATTTGTAGAAGCCGTATAATCGCGATATATTTGATCGATCAACGTTGTAGTATCGTCGAACCAACCACGAATACTAGCATGATTTCCGTTATATTCGAGCTTATTTGTGGTGAGAACGTAAATAAAGACATTGTGTATGATTTCTTTATAAAGTGTTGTATCGAAGTCATCTCCGTATGCGCCTGCGACAACGAGAAAGATTCGTTCAATTGCAGTAGCGCCCACATAATGAATGCATTCGTTAATATTGCTAAACACCTCTACATGAGGAATCATCTGACGCAATTGAGGGACAACATTAAGCCATCGAGTTTCTGTTGAAGTGCCAAGTGTATCATCTAACCAAACTGCCATCACATCTGTATGTAGTTTATTAGTATTATTAATATCCGGTAAGAAAGTGAATGTTCGCTCCACGGTGTTACTAAATATAAATATGAATCTGGCTATATCGATTCAAACCCAACTGTGCAAGATTCTAATTAAAATCGTTCTTAGTTCCCTGTCTATCGTTCCACAGGAGATTCAACGACAAATTTGCTTACAAAAACGATGGCCTCCTAAGCAAACCGGACAGCACAAATAGGCGATTTGACCCAGGATGAGCTCAAACAAAATCAAAACTGAAAGTTAACATTATCAACTTTGTAGAATTAGTTTCGAGTCGGAGTACGTGCAAAGAATTAGTAAATCTTGGTTGCTGGAAAAGTTTTGTATACGTACGCTTTACAGATATGAAAATAGTAAATATGAATCTAGTTATAAATGATAAATATTTGAGTTCACACATCAGTATGCTCTTTAGAATTCGAAAATTAATTTTTGAAGTAGATATGCTATTATATAATAGTCGAAAACTCGTCTTTATAATTCAATTTAACATGTAAATTTGAACGGTTATAATACAGTAAATACACATGAACGATTTTCTACTCATCTAATTATCAAGCATACATATCAAAAGAAACACCCTTCTCATGTGTAGAGTACGACGAAAAGCTGAATGTAACAGATAGTGAAAAGCGGTAAGGGTGTGAGTGTGAGCTTCATATATCACTAACATCCGCACCTTATGTGATCTAACACGATCACACAAGATGAGGTGAAAAGAATAATAAAAATTGAGAAAGTTTTAAGTCAAGTTTTCAAAAATACACTTACTTCATCATTTCTTACAGTGTAAAATATATATGACTATTTTTTTGTATTAGTTTTCATTCAATAATGAAGAAAAAACAAAACTCAGTTTGTTCTTATTTTTGACGAAGAGCAAAGAGCAAAATATTTCTTTGCGTTCTGTTAGTAATGACTGTTGTAGTGAAACAAAATCGTAATAAAAAGTGCACTCATACATGTAGTTTTGTCAATATCACTCAAAAGAATATTCTACTAGATGCTGTTATGCAAATGCTACCGTTGAATTTCTTTTTTTCTGTTTTTTATCAGTGTCACGTTATTCTTTTTTTAATTACTTTTGAACTGAAGATGAGACAGATAAATCATTTCATATTTCGATCTTTAGGTGATAAGATTCAAAGTTGAATCTTGGAAGATGCAACCAATCGATAAAATTCAAATGACAGAGTTTTATCGGATTTGGTCGACTGAATCCTTATTACTAGGATATGAGTGGTAGATGAGTAGAATATTCATATACCCACACTCACGCCGTGAATTTAATAAAACAGCTTTCGTTTGTTGACTATGTACCTTCATATTGATTTTCGATCGATTTTCATTTGTTACATTCAGAACTTGCGTTACCTGAAAAGATTAATACTTTTTAAAGTGAAAGCAATTGATTACTAGTATTCTGATGTGAATTATTCATATAGGTAGTCCCAATTTTGACCCTTTTTACTGGGTAGATATTTATATAAAAGCAAAAGAAAAATGCTTTCGAGATATTTCCTTTCTTCACCTATATAGTTTTTGACAAAACTACATATACAATTAAAGCCTACCAATAGACGATAATATATTTATATTGATCGAATACTCGGAAAAGACCAATAATAATTATGGCAATATTAATAAATACATTTATATAGAAATTTTCAACTTAAAGAAAAGTAAATATTATTTTCATGACATAAGAGGTTACAAAAAAGAAATAAGTTTTAGCTCGAAAATTCTGAAGTGGATTCATAATCAATGTTTGTATGCCATAATAAATAATCGACGACAGTAAGCACATAAGTGACCACAAATTAAAGTGCTTTTTAACTAAAACCCATTTTTTATACGTTTGTGTTTGAATACTCCTTTGAGCAATAAAACTAATTCTTACCAATGCATTATAAAAATCTAGAATGGCAATAACCGTTAATATTCTACCACTTGTATTTAAATGAGTAATAACAAAAATCTAAATGAGCAATAATGAAATTTGGTAATAATAAAACTGAATAAGCAATAATAATACTGAATGAGCAATAATTTATTTAAATTAACAATAAATCATATGTATAAGGAGCAATATAAATCCAGGTGTCAAACTCTCTCTTAATAGATAACCCTTCTGAAAAAAATTCTATACAAATTATGTGTATTTTGGTGGGGATTTCAGCAAAATTTAGACTTGAATTGAGAAACATAATAGAAAACCCGGTAGTTTCTTATTATGGACGGGGGTTTACAGTACCGTTCGTCTGTGTTAGATATTTTCTTTTTATTCTTTTGATTGCATCGTATAGACGGCTTATCCAGGATCTATACATATATATTGTATTTTTTTCCTTTTTATCTGAAGTATTTTCCAAACGTTGAGTCGTTCAAGTACTTTTCTTTCTCTGTGTTTTTCCTCATTATCTTTGAACTTTTCCATCTGGCTTACGTATATATATTAGAGGTGGGATCGGTTCGTGATTTTTTGGAATCAAACCGAATTCTGTCGAAAAATTGTTCAAGCGAATTGATCTAGTTTTTAAAAAAGTCCGAACCGAGCTCAAAAGAAGTGAAGTTTATGGCAAGTTAATCAAGAAGTCAGCTTTTCTCGAGGGTGGGTGTGGGTTGGTGTGGATGTTCACTTCATCATCACCCATACCCACACCAACACCCGCACCCATACCCTCAAGAGACAGACCATATAAAGCAAAAAAAAGTCTTATTGCTACAATAGTACATTTATTGCTCATTCAGTCATTATTATTGCACGAATAAATACTAACCTATTGTTGAATGACTGAAGTATACTACAATATTGTTCTAGAACGTTGTTTTATCGAGAGGATGTAAGTATGGGTGTGAGTGTGATTGTGCGAGTGCGGATGTGTGGAAACATAATATCACACCCATACACATCCTTTCTTCGAATACGAAAGATGAACTGTTATTTTCTGTTTACATAATGTAACATTTTGTGTCTTACTTCAAAAATTGATCTTTCCAAATAATAGACAAATATTCGCATCTTGAAGGTGCAAGTATACAAAAACATCCACACTCCACTTCAAAAAGTAATATATGACTGATTCAGAGAGAAATCTTGATTAAGAATGAACATGAATCAAAGCATAGAAAATTATGTAGTTAGAAATATTAAGTCCAGATCGACTTATGTGGAAGCGAACAAATCTTTCATCCACAGTTTTTTTTCTAGCTGCTGAATATACTTTTTATAGTTCTGTATTTCTTCATCATCTTCTTTTTTGGTTTGAAGTAGTCTTTCAATCCCTTTCTCCATCGCTTGTATTGCGTCTTTGAATCGTCCAAGTTTTTCAAGTGCCGTTGCCATATTGAAATAGGTCGTTGCAACCGTTGGATTCTTTGCTGAATGACATCTGAGCTCCATTTCCAAACACTTTTGATAGTTAACGAGTGCTTCCGAATAGAGCTGTGATCGATATTGCATCGCAGCAAGATTATGAAATTTCGCAGCGATTTCTCCACTATCTTTGTTCTGATGAAGTCTTTGGTTGACTTTCAAATCTATTTCGTAATATTTAATTGCTTCTTTGTGTCTGCGCAGTTTGGTTAGCACTGAGGCGATATTTCCTGCATAGGCGGCGACCGATTCCAAGTCTGGATCTGATGAGTTTTTCTGAATTTCATAAGCTTTTTGATGATATTCTAGTGCTTTTTCATTGAGATCTTGTTTGTGATAGATGCTTCCGATATTGTTATAAGTCGATGTTAATCTAATGTCATCAGAAGGCAAAACACGCAGGTGGACTTTGAGAGAATTTTGCAAATGAGTCAGCCCTTGCTCGTACTGATTTCTTTTATAGCAATGATTGCCTAAAGAATGAAGCATTCCAGCAAGAGTTATATTTGCGGTTTCATTGCCAGCTGTTCGTGAATCATCCATCAATAGAGAAGAAAAGTATTCCAAATACTCCACCGACTCTTTCTGTCTTATCAATTTTCCCATACGTGCCAATGGAAATGGACCACGAATAGCATCACGTAATTCTTTTGATATCGATTGACCAGCTTTCAAAACCTCATTGTTCGTCGTTAATTGCACCCTAAAAGTGTTTTCGTCGATTGCTTCGAGCTTTTCAATTCGAAATATGACTCCAATGGTGAGAAGAACTTCATTGGATTTTGTAGAAACAACAAATCGTGAAATTTCAGCACCTAAATTAATTTGAAAATGAACCACCTTCGATTCCGTATTCATCGGATTAGGCTCGGCGGTCGGTGGATCTTTACTGACGAAAAGAAATTCATTGAACGATAACATTCCTTCCTGATAATTGCACATCTTCTTGGAAAGATCCTTTCGAACTCGAAGTGTTCGATAGACAGTCAGCGGAGTTGTATTACTGGATGATTCTAATTTACGATGGAGATGTTGGACAAAGTATCGAAGCCGATATAATATATCTACATCCAAGATTCGAAAAGCTCTCGTAAGCATTTTGTATACGAAAGCTTCTTGTCGCAAGTACCACTGAAGAGCATTGTCCGGTTGAAAACTATTTTCGAATTCGTCGATTAGCGTCAACTGAATAACATTATCAGCGTACTTTTCTCGACAGAAATCGATCATTTCTTTTTTTAGATTTTGTTTTTCATCTGTATCTAAAAGGATATCTTTCACCGCTTGAACATAATTAAGTGTGCTCATGCTCGTGTACTCAGCAGGAATCGAACTGATGATTGTTAAGTCATATGTTAATAATGGAAGATCTTTCTCTAGTTGTTTACATAGTCGAGTAATGTCAGGAAACGATCCTCGGTACATTTTCGATTCAAACGAGTTATCGTTCGATGAATCGATAACGTAAATAGCACTAAGGAAAGGTTCTTCGCAGATCGATTTCGCTAGATTTTCCATACTAGTTTTCGAGAGAATCAAAATGATTTTTTCATTTTGAATACCACGAACGAGTTTCACACATTCTTCTGAGTTGATGTCGTTGAAAGTAAAGCCAAGATTGATCAGACCACGTAATGTCTGTTGTTCGATTTTTGTAATCGGGAACTGATTTTCGAGGATATAGCAGAAATTTTCCACACTATTTGAATGACGTGTTGTTCTAGACCAATGTTGTGCTAAAGCTGCCGCATCTGAATCAGACAAAAAGAATGACACTTTAGTTTGACACTACTATCATGCGCAACATACTTTGTTTGATATAGTTCATAAGCCATTGCTTAAATTGTTCAGTGTCTATTTCGCTCGCAGTAGTTTCACTTGAACTTTGCGATTTATCATCGGATTTTGTCGTCAGCTGTTCAGCTAAAAAAATAGATTTGATTCTACTTGTATCTTTATTGTGATTGTGTTTCATCATACTTACTGAGAGTATTTGAAAGCTCTTCTAGACCAGTTGTTTGATTCACTTGCTTGGAGTTTTGCAGGGCGATTGATTTCTGATGCCATTGAACGCTCTTATCGTATTCTCCTCGTAATGCTGCCAGTTCACCGAGATCTTCATATAAAGCGCTACTTGAAGGATCATCTGCTGGCAGTTGTTTCAATAAGCGGAGGAAATATTGTTCAGCTAAATCGAATTTACCCATTTTCCATAAGACTTTTCCTAGTGTTCGAAGATTAGTTTCTCCAGTGCCAACTTGTCCTTTCATATATTTAAGAACTTCTTTGATGTCATGTTCTTCCTCACTTGATAATGTCATTTTGATCACCCAAATCTTACGATTATTTTGATCAATACTATCAAGACGAAAAATAGAACCGATCATAAACAATACTTCAGCTTCACCGGGATAATCACTATCTTTACTGATATCAGCAAATGGTTTATTTCTAGCCATCTGTGGATCAGCTTTAATTTCGAACACTACTGCTTCGAGAGTCTTACTACGCTTGAGAAATGCGAAAACTTTCGAAAAATCCATGCTGGTCGAGAAAAAAGAATTAATAGAAATAAGTTTACCGATACTCTGTTGTAATCTTTGTAATTCTTCACTAGTCATCATTTGAGCTCGGTAAACTTTAAGTACTTTTTCAGATTTATATTTTTGTAATCGTTGTTGAATATCTTTGATAAATTCACGAAACAAAAACATCATGTGAATGTTTTGTTTACGTAAGGCAGCGTTCAGGCTCTTATAAAAGAATGTATCTTTTGTATACCATCGCAGGGCTTTGTCAGGCGTATAATGTTTTTCAAATTCACCAATATATTCTAGTTCCCTGCGGTTACCTCCGTAGTCATTTTTACAACGCTTAATCAGTTCATCTTTGTCGGCTGGATTCGATTTTAATCGAAGAAGACAATCAATAAGTACTTGAGAGAAGACAAATTGTCCGAAGACTCCCATAGTTGATTGACCAGTACCGCCACTTGAGAAAATATCGATTGGTAATGGTTCATCAACTTTCTTCTGAATATTATGATCTTCTGTAATTCGAGTAACGAGCGTATCAAGATCATCGAGAACAGCATTGACCTGTGCGCAAATAAAAAAGAAATAATCAGATGAAGTCTTTGGAAATGATTTTACTTTGTTATATTTTGAAGCCCATTGTTCATGTCTTTTTATATCCATGCAATAAACATATATCGATACAACTTGTCGAAGTTGATATATGGAGGGTACTATTTCTTGACCTAATCGTCCACTGACAATGAGAATTATTCGATCCTTATGCGAACTTTGCTCGATATCCCTCTGACATGATTTTACTTCTTGAAATCTTTTCAGATAATTTATAACTGAGCGTAGTTTTTGTTCGGCATTACGAGTTTCATGAGTATCTGTGTTGCTGTCGAGCCAAAATAGACAAAATATTTCACATTGTTTATCATCGATCTTCTCTTGAGAAGTATCTTCCAATGTAAGAGTAGTAGCCATGTTAATCTGAGAAACTGAAATTTAAAAAAGTGAAGTCGATTTACACATACAGATAAAAGAATCAACTTGTAACTTTGAAGAAAAAAATAACGACTGAAATAACAACACGTGGATGAAAGTAGTCAAAGAACAGACAGTCTTGTTAACGTAAATGAAATTCTTTTGCTGTGTGTGCACAACATAAAATACTTGTTTTTATTTGACGAGGCGATAGAGAACGATAAAATAATTCTCTTCGGAAGTAACTGCTTCAATAAATACATTCTTTCTCGCACATTCTAAAAAATACCTTCTCTGATCAAATGTGTATGTAAATAGAAATCCATGCTAGAGTCATCATAGTTATGGTTGAGTGTGGGTATTATATTCATCCCACACCTACCCTATGGTTTTGCATCTACTGAATCAGTTTTCATTATTTTACTTTGATACATTGTTCTACTTCATAAGAAAACATTCGTTTATTGAACTATTAGTCTAACATAAATATATGCTGTATACTTTATCTTGTTCTTATTAATTAGAATTTTCATTCAAACTATAGTAAAAAACGATATGCTACTATACAAACTACTATTGGTTATCGACATAAATAAAACTCTCTAGATAGTATACAAATACTTTCATAATGATAAAAAAACTGATAATTTCAAGGACACAATTCAATTGTCACTTTCTATTCTATTGAATACGAAAAAAGAAGATGTATTCATCAATCTTTAGTCTATTATTTCTATTAGTATTGCTTGTGTCTAATACTCAGCATTACCCGTCAGTCGATCGAAGTTTATGTTTTTATAAATGTTGCAAAGGTAAATAATGCCATGCAATAGAAACTAGTGAGAAATATGCACTTATTAATGGTAATCTTTATAATAATTGAAAATATGGGTGTGGGTGGGTGACGGTGTAGTGGATGGTGTGAGTGGGTGACGGTGGAGTGGATGGTGTGAGTGAAAATGTAATCATTATCATCCTATTTTTTATGTGAAGAAAATTGAAAATTCTAAATATCGAAGTAGAACAGATGATTCGTTTTTAAATATGAATAATATTTCATGATTTATAAATGTTTTTAGTAGAGAAATTTTTAGAATAAATTTAATTTTTGTTTTTTGTGTATGAAAAGCCTTTGAAGAATAGTTAATATATAAAACGAGTGAAAACGCATATGCTACCATGAATAAAATAAATGCTAAGCAAGATTAATCAAATACTATTTCGAAATGATATATTTGATTGTTTATTAATTACTTTACTGATAGAGATGGGAATCACTTTATTTAACAGACATCAAGCACAAAGGAAATTGTAGAGTATCATCAGTGTTGATATTTGCATGTTTAGAATGAAGTGAAGGTTGTTTTTTCGATGAACTTGAGGAGGAAACAGGTCTTTCACTTGTTGACTGCTGAATTGAACGTAAAGTGAATAGTTGAGAACAAGCGCGTCGTACATTTGGTGTAAGTAACACAGTGTAAATCATTGCGCCTGCTTGAGAAAATTCTACAGTAACCATTCCTATCTTGCGTGCATAGATGGGCACACGATCAGGTTCAATATGGGTTTGAACAAAAAAGAAACCATGTGGAAAACCTGCCACTCCTAGAACAAGTAACATCCAAGTAATGCGTTGGACTACTAGAACAGAATATTTTTTTCCACAACGTACTCCAGCTGACTGACGTCGTAGGTATAGAATAATTCGACAATAAATACAAAGAATAATTATAAGTGGAATGAGATAACAAACACTAAAGACATAGGGAAAAATAAATAAATTTCGAAGTGAACATTGACAAAAGTGAACGCCTTGATCATATTCTACTTGACCAAGTAAAGGTCCAGGTAAAACGAGAGGGCATGAGAAAATCCACTGAATAATAACCAGCTTAATGAAGAATGTCCAAGATCGATGAAAATTACGTTTATTATAAACGATACAACAAAGACGATAGAAACCATGAACGCATAATGTATAATAAAGAATTCCTATGGCACCCGTCGACAATGCTCCGCGAGCAATGCACAGTGAATCCGGTTGACGTTTGATATATCCCAGATCAGCTAAGGTCATAATCACCGCTTCAATTCCAGTAGAACTGTTCACAAGAAAACCAGCCACACATGAATTCACTGCAAGAAATGTGGCAATCGAACGAAATTGTTTTCCTCCAAAAAGAACAACAAGGATCAGAATCAGAGCAGCAAGTACACCCACTGTACTGAATGTCATAAGAAGACCATCAATTAATAAATACCCTGGCGAAGAATACAATAGTTGGTCATCACTTGAATTCATTTTACTTATTTACTAACAAATGTATATCTGGTAAAAAGAAACAGACAAATTTTAATCATTTTATTGGCATTAAATTCGATAACTTAACCAATTAAAATCAGTTCTTACTCATTTCAACCTTCTTATTCTTCTCTGATACTCACTTGAGAGTTTAACTTTGCTCGATCGAAATCTATATCACATACGGAAACAAATAATCAGATTATTTCAGATGAGTTATTTACAATCTTTTTTTAGCACTGAAAAAATGAGAGGTTTTATATTTTTTGCAGAGTGTAATCTCAGTTCTTCATAGAGTCAATCAGTCTTCGCCCAAGTTTAGAGGATAGAAAAACTATGAAAGGTGAATCTATTATATTATTAATATATCAGATAACTATATTCGTACTTAAATAATTATTTTTTCAAAAACGATCTGAAATTACGCGTCAGATTGCTAAAGAGAAAAGTGATACTATTACAAGAAGAGTAGAATCAAGTTTCAACTATGATCAACCATAGATGAACATCCCATTTTTTCAATTCTTGAAACTGCATTTGTCAATCTGAACAAAAATCAAGGTGGGTATATCTGTAGTTTTCACACAAGCAGAGATCATCGAATCTCAAAAGAAAAATTCTACTAATTTTGGCGTATTCTAATGTAATCGCAAAAATATTTTAACACATCTTTTCTAACTGTGAACCGTTTTTCTGTTTTTTCTTCGAGTTACAAAGTAAATGAGAATGAGAAAGAAAATGAGAGGTGTCCTCTGTCATTAGTAAAATAACACTATTTTTCTTCGAACATTATAGTTCTTCTTCAATGATAAACGAGAGCGAATATCTATTATCTTGATTATATGACAAATGCATCACTCTATTTTGAGTCAGACATCTACGGTTGATAATCCTCTATCATCACTTCAATGTTACTCACTTTGAAAAACAGTAGATTAGTCTTGAGAGTGCGTGTGGGTTTCTTCTTTCTGAGCACCCACACCCGTATTCTTGTTCTATAATAAAAAAGAGAAAAAAATCATTTATTTGTCTCAATTCCGTTTCTGTTTATTTTATATTAGCGCTCTTCTTTTCGATAGATGAATCAAACCAAATAAGACTGATGCCTTCACAATTATTCTGTGTAATTTTTCTAACAGTGCTGCTCGAATCTTATGTAGCTGAGTGTTGTTGCCTGTTGCAATCTATAGAACTTGACGTTGATCTTGAGGGCGGATGTGGGCGTGGAATGAATATAATACTCACACCCACCCAATACATGAATACCTTCTTATATATTCTATTAATAAGAAGAAAATGATTCTTTCTCTACATCAAAAATTCTGCATTTTAAACGTTCATAAACTAAGTTTAGATGAAAAACGATACGAGACAACAAGTAAAATTTGAGCGTAGCGTAACTAATCGCAAAACAAACATTTAAAACGCGTTTATTTCGAAGAATTATTGTGTTAAAATGTACTAAAAAGTTTTCACACAATATAACTCGTAAAAACTATTGTAGAAACGCGAGAAAACTCGTAAACTTTATAAAAAAAAGTAATGATTAGATAATTTCTCATTATCTAATAAAATTATCAATTCTATATCTTGATTACATAATTATCTATCAACAACATTTATAGAATTTATTTTAGCAAAGCATGTGAGTCATATATTTATATTCTTTCATTGGTAGATGTTGCCTTCTTACAATGAACAATCAAAAGAGCGACATAATATATTATTTGTATTTTTCAATTTGAAATACTGCTGATCTTCTAACAAAATCATAGCAAATAATATTGAGCCGATATGAATGAGGCAGTTAGATGAATGCACATATTAATATTATCTCGCACTCACACCACATCAAAATATTGACTTGGTAACAAGAAAACCCAGTCCGTAGAGGGTAATAACAGTTTACCAACAAAATGTCTCCATATTCTCATTAACTTGAGATCTGATTGTAAAACTTATTTCAAATCGATCCATTAGATTTCTCGTTAGCTTATTCTTATCTGATAATTATCTATTTCATTACAAAATAAAAATGATCGCTACGATTGAAATTTTGTCGGAATGTAAGCATTGTGAGTCAAGTTATTCCTATTGAAATAAACTTGCAGCTGTTTAATTATATCATATTTATATTATTATGAATTTGGGTGAGAAAATAGAAAAATAATGTCTTTGTCATTTAATCTATGTTTTATTTATTTATCCGAGCAATAATATTCGATTCTATATTAGTTGTATACACGACTTGATGCAAATTTATTGTATTAATTGAATAAATAAATACTATTTGTTTAGTATAACATCTAAAATATTATAATCAATGAGATTTTTATTTTAAAAGATCTTCGATCAATTATTCTAGTATTTCGATCATGAAATATTGTGTTTCTTTTAACTTCAAATGGATACATATGTAGAGAGCAGTTGTCATTTATGATATCGCTATTGATTTTATTCTTAAATGACACTTCATGTGTAAGTTTAGAATTGTTATTATTTAGTAATCTCTTTTTTTCTGTTAGAATAACAATAGATATGATCATAATACTCTCAAATTGATACTGATTTGAACTAAAGAAATAAAAAAAACATTTATGAATGTCAATTGATATATTATAGGGTAAATTGATATCCAGGGCAAACTAAAATTTTAATTTCCACTATAGATGAATTTAAAACTTCACTGACATTTTAATTTCCTGTACAAGTGAGTTTGAAATTTCACTGACATTTTAATTTCCCCTGTAACGGATATGAAATCCCTATATGAGTATTGTATTGTCGATAAATATTAGAATTATTATTTTCATGTATAACAGATCCTTTAGTAGGCAATCCATTCTCATTACAATCTGAAGAAGAAGAAGAAAAGAAATGTTTATTTATTAGAAATAATCATTTATCTTGGTATTGTCTATCTAATAATTAAACTTTGAAAGAATCTTTCTCCTATTTTTCTTTGACAAAATATTAGAAGAAAGAAAAGACGTATCATCAATTTAGTTTTTTAGTATAATCATGGACATTCTGTTACCAATTGAGAAAAAGTTAACTTTTTGTTGTCATCATTGTTTTACGCTTACGCAATTCTTTTTTTATGAAACAACATAGTTTCTATTATTGTGATTATAACATCTCTAGATGATTTTACCAGTTTTCTGTTTCTTTTTCTGCATACATAACACATCATAGCAACATATAAATGAAAGAAAACTAAGGGAAACATCTACTGAATAAATATTTTTCATCACGAAAAAAACATTTTGAATGTATTGGTATGATAAACAATTATTTTGTCGATTTTGAAACACTTAAAAACTGTTTGTTTTAACTTATTTAATGAATAAATGTTTCATTCTCCATTAAAACTAATCTACATAGATATAAATCTCAATTGTTTGAATCATTTTCACATTGATGAAGAAAAATATGATTGTTTATTGAATTACAAATTGTAATCAATCAAAAATGGAAGAATAACAAAAAGAGAGTTTTTGGAATGTTGTTATACTTTGTTATAGACATTCGGGAAACCTAATTCGAGTGTATTTGATTTTGAAGAAGTGTTCAGTTTGCTTGCATAATCAAACAACTCATTTGGTTATTCTTCGTTTAGATATCAAAGAGTGACTCTATTCTATATGAATAATGTGATAGTTCACTGATATATTGTATAGTCTATGAGATACATTTGAAGTATTCAGAATTGAATTATCTTGATTTTTATGGAAAATTTCATCTTTAACTAAATGTTGATTCTATTATTTTTCAAATTTAATTCTGTAAGATCGATCGTTTTTGATACAACTCAAAAGCTCTATTTGTAAATGTATTTGTCCTCAAATAACATTTGAACACGTAGGTAAATCATCTTTCCAAATGAATAAATTATTTTTGAAAATAAAAAAGTCCTGACAACTTTTTTTGATTAAATTGATGAAATGAGTTCACCGAACAAGAAAGTCATGACTGTCTTTTGATTAAATTGATGAGAGGAACTCTGAGAAAAAGAAGTCCTGACTACTTTTTTGATTAAATTGGTAAAATAAATTCGGGGAAAAACGATGCACTACCCACTCAAAAAGGAGAAAAAAAAATCTATTACTCAATAAATACTCTATCTTTTATTATGAATTGATTTCATTTCAACAACTTACAGTCTGCTTGGTGATGGCTTCAAGAAGAGTTTGTTTATGGCTTTTATTTATGATTATCACACAATCAATTGGAGAAGACATACGATCAGTGCAAATGTCTTTAATACCTGATTCGAAATTTCTATGTGCGAATATAGCTTGTTTACCATTCATTAATGTTATTACATCAAACATTAAGAATTGTCAAATAGCCTGTTTAGCTCAAAGTCAATGCAGAGCAGCCACTTTTCATCGATCAACTTCTAATTGTGAATTATTTGCTGATATGCTGAACCAAGATGGAAATATGTTGGCTGATGTCGATGCTACTAGTATGAATGTTATTAGTGAAACACGATTTCCACCGGGTTAGTAGAAAAATAATTTTAAGTTATCGAGAACTAAAACAAATCGACAGAGATATTCAACACATTTGTGTTTAAATCATGGATTGATTATTATAACAGAGATGTAATTAAAGTAAACATCGTAGAATTATAATTATAATGAGAATCATTTAAATATTTCCTATTTTGGTATAATCAACTAATATTTAACGCTGACACATAATTATAGAAAAAGAAAAAAATCTTATCCAATTGTTTAGTCTCACTCTAAAATCATTTTTTCGAAAATAGAACCGACTACAACATCAACATCCACAACATCAACAACAGCAACAACATCCTCCTCA